GGAAAATCTAGTAGATTTAAATCCTGAATGATCAATACATTATATCTGTTACCTGATGTAACTGACTGCTTTTGCACAATGTTTGATCCTATTGAGGGAGAACTTCAGAAGATTATAGCATTTTTAACTGATGAACGTGGAGATTGGAAGTCTAGGAACAACCAAAAGATAAATTTTGCTTCTTCTGCACTTAATGCCTCATCAAAGGCATGACATTACTTCATCTCTACTTGTCTTCTTCCTTCAAACCATTTGAGCGAAGTAACCCGGTCCTTTAAAAGAGAAGCATAATATTAAGTTAAGTGTTGCCGAGATGAGAATGATTAGGTGGATAGTGGCTTTACACCTAGAGACAATGCGAAATGAATATATTCGTGATAGGGTTGGTGTAGCTCCTGTAATGGACAAAATTTGAGAAAGTCATCTTAAATGGTTTGGTCAAATTAAACGTCAACCATCTGATGATCCGATTATGAAGTAGATGTTTTAAATTCGACTTATGTTAAGAAAGACAAAGGTAGACTTAGGAATACTTAGGCTTATTGTATAAAAAATGATCTTAATTAATTAGAACTAAATGAAAATATAACTAAATGAAAAATTAGAACTAAATGAAAATATGACACTAAATAGGATGCAAAGGAGAAAAGGATTCATGTAGCCGACCCCAAGTAGTGGGATTAAGACTTTGTTGTTGTTTTTGTATTGTTGTTATTATTATTATTATCAGTAATTGTTATTATTAAATCAACTAAATAAAAATTACTTATCCTCGGTCGAGCCCTAACCAAGCGCAAACATGTTCTTCCCCTAATGCAATTTCGCCTGCTCCTCTAAGCACGGGATCGCACATCTTCTCATTCTTTGTATGGGAGCTCTTCCTTCAATCGAACTCCAAATGCATCGGCTCTGGCTCCCTCCTTCATGAACGCGCGATCAACCCATCTCCTCTTCCTTCTCTACGCAACATAAACGCTACTTTTTGCTCGATGACTTTCGCTTCCGTGCCAGAACATGGCTAGACCTGATCTGCTCGACATTAACACGAAGAGCTCCTATTCTCTTTGCCTTAGTCGCACTCACCGCAACCATTGAAACCCTCACGATCCCGGAAGAGCCCTCCTCATTACCCTCGACGTTGTCGTTAGACTCTCAGGTAAGTCCCTACCGCCCTCATAAGACAATTTATAAAGCAAACTCACTTCCTTATTTTCCGATTCCCTTGCTTCACCTTCCCTCTCTTTGGCTTCCCAACTCATCGTTTCCTCTCCTTCAATCCTTCGTTTCTACCCTCGGGTAACTGAAATTAGATATTACAATGAATATGTTATATATTATAGGTGTTAATTTGAAAGAGTTGGAAGTAATTAAGAGCAAGAAAATCATCTAAACTTGAGGTGAGTAATTATATTTTTTTATGTTACAGTAATATTTCCTGCTTTTAAATATATTTTTGCTTACAATTTTTCACTATTATATCATACATCAATAAAATTAAATCACATATGATATTTCATATCGTCTGTTATAAAGTATGCAAGTTAAATATTATTGTTTTGATAGCTCAATATTAGTTTATTTTAGAAAAATATCAATATATTGCATGAGTCTTATGTTCTTATAGAGTTGTAAATGATAGCTTATTTCATGACCAAATGTATAAGTCAAATTATTACTTGACCTTAAAATTCTAGTAAAGAGGCATCTATCAAATTATCGAATGACTTTAGAGTTTAATAGAGTTGCATTATTTTTTGTAGATAAATATAAATTATCTTTACAATAAAAAAATGTATGATACGAGGAATTAAATAGTATATATATGAATGTTTAAATGTACATGTTGAGAAAAGAAATTCACCCTCTTAAGATACAGGCAAAGGACGTCAAGCGTAAATATTATTCTATCACCCCAAATAATTGTGATATTTAGATTGCTAACTGTTGTGTTGGCGGAAGAATATCGGTCAGAGGCGAGTACACAATTTTTCATTTTAAAAAAACGTGTAAATTAGAAGAAAATTGATGTGTCGATGAGAAAACATCGGTCATTGATTTATTAGGTTATGTTTAGACAATGCTCAAGAGATAGATGTGAATGTTATAAGAATAAAGTAAAAGTAAACTTAAAAATTAAACTTTAAAGAATACAGTTAAATTTAATGTATATCAAAGTCTAAAATACTTTCATTGAATTAATATAATGGACACATATATTAAGTTATTATAAGTTCTTATCTAGCAAAATATGAAAAACCAGCATGCACATTGTTTTTTTTTTAATTACTGTAGTTTGAAAGTGTGATTGCCCCCGAATTATCTTAAATAACTCTATTATTTTAATATGATTTTTGAGATATAGCTTTTGATTAAGATGAATAGAAGAGAAGATAATATTATAGAAGACGATAAAATCAACCTGAAATGTAACCGTTTATTTGATCAATTCATTTATTTTATTTAGTGGCTCTTTCAATTAATATGTAGATAATAAATTATTATTATTAGAAATAGAATAATACAAAACTTAATTTTATGTTTGTTCCCGCCTTAGTTAAATCTAAGCCCCGGGTTGAGTCGTGATAGAAAAGAAAAAGTGAAGAAAAAAAGAGGAAAGAGAAGGGAATAGAAGAAAATTTTTAGAAAGAGAACTTAATGCGAGAAAAATATACCACGGTAAGAAAAGCAATTAAAATATATTTGGGTTAAATTAAGACCTAAGTTAAAATTTTCATGAAATTCTAAAAAATTATGATTCTGAATGGTGTACTCTAGATAGCAAGTTCAAGGCAAACTTGAAAAAACTCGTTGCGAGACTCTCTGTCAATTCTGGTCAGACAATCATATGCTAAATTAAGAAAAATATCTTTCAATACGATTACTATGTGATTTATTGATATATAACTTTATTTAAATTTTTTTTGTATATTGATGAATAATTGCATATGTTAAATAAATGTAAGTTTAAGGTGACACTAATGATATTGCTTATTTTATTGTTTTTTATTGAATTGGTAAATATATTTAATAAAATGTTGTTTGCAAGTATTCATATATCATTACATATGCATACGATAAATGATTTACACATGATGAATGATTGCTAAAAAAAATATGCTCAAGGAAATGTCACTAAGTGTTGTGATAGGTAGGTCATTATATGAATAACTTGCAGGTAAGATCATAGGAAAGCTTAGAACTCCTGACTCTTGATATTTAGGCAGAGACCGAAATGTTGATATCAAGGAAATTGTTGATACTTAATATGTTGAAAGAAGCTTGACTTTTATCAATAATTGTGTAGCCTAAGAGTTGGGTGACAACCCAATGATATGAACTGAAATAAATTTAATTAAAACTTATGCAAGTACAAGTGACATTCCTAAAACGACAGTTATTGATTATGAAATAGTTAAAGATATTTATATGATTGTACAGATAGAATGAAATGTATAATTGTTACAGTTCATTAATAGTTACTGCATTCATATCCTTATTTTAGATGTTTCTTACGATTAAAACGTGTTTGTGTTATATATTGTTATTATTCATATTAATCATTGTTAAACATGCAAGTTGTTTTCCTTCCATTTATAAAATTTGTAGTCATGATTATTTTGTGGGCTTGTAGCTCACTCCTTTATATTGTTGACTTTCAAGAAGGGGTAAGGAACATCGGGCGATTAGCTAGGTGTGATTGCATGGTTTTTGGATTGTACAATTTTGAAAGTTTTAAACACTTTTGGGTACGTACTTTTATATGTTGGATTTTAGCAGCTTTGTATATGTTTTGATGATATTATTATACATACTTCCAAGCAATTAAGAATATTAATGAATTATGAATTAAATTGTGAATGTTTGCGATGACTGAATGAGATTAATTCGTTACCCACTAAGTCTTGATTTATGCAAGAAAGAATTGGTGTTAGTAAGAATTTTGTATGGGTAATCCATCTACGTTGCGCCACGATTGATCTTAAGAGGGGGTCAGCTAGGCGTGACATTCTTGTTTGGAAAGCTATAATAGTACAACTAGACATCGGGATATGTTATGCAACGCAAACATAAAAACATTTATAATCTAAAAATCTTGTCATTAGCTTCTCTATGAATACGTTTTAGGACTTCTCATATTGCCAAAAAGAAAACTCTTTATGATTCCCCAAAATGTGATGACTTAATACAAATTACAACCACTATTTAGAATATATATGTGAATAAATCTACAAAATATAATGGAATTGCTAAAATAATATTAGTTCTCTAGAATTTACAATAATCAACATCTCGATCTCAAACTTTATAGCCATCAATTTCAAAAGTTGCACTTTAAACAATGGTGTCAAATGGCTTGAAGCAAAACCATCACCAGAATCAATATTAAGCTGCCAAAAAATAACACAAAAAAAGAAATAACAATTCAATATAAAAAAAAATCAATATTAAAATAATTATAAACCAATGAAGTCTATGTTAATAAGAGAAGAAAGAGGGTAAGATTCACCAGAAAACACAAATTGCAAGGGTGGCATGCATATTTAAGTAAAATTTCCGACCCTTTATAAAACTAAAATAAATTCACAGGCAAAGAAAGGAAAAGGCCAAATAATCTCTCAAATACAAAATGATAATCTCACAAATATATATCAGCCACAATAAGGAAGTCCAAAAGCTTCATTGATGCAACTTGATCATGCTATAATATGGCATACGTTCTCACCTAATAGAAATCACAAGTGAGAGATCTTCACTCAACAAAAAAAAAAAACACTTAACTACAAGGTTATTGTTTGCTGAATTATGTCTTACACAAAACCCTAATTCATAAGGGTGTATCATAGAAGCCTTCAAAAATAACTTAAGAGGATCAAAGTCTAGGCAAACTGAGTAAAATTTTGAGAATCAGTTTGAAGCATGTTTAACGGCTAGTACATGCCAAAAACAAAGCTTAATCTGTTGACAGATGTATATTGGAGGAACTAAATATAGAAAATCACCTTTATCAGCCCTTCATGCAACCTTCGCAAAGTCTCTAAACTCTCCTCCCTGGTCTGGAAACATCAATATATCATTTAAAATGAGAACCTTATACAATAAAGCCCAATCGAATGATTGTGTGCGTTTAATCCTTCGTTAAAGCCTAATAATAGTTGTCAAGAGGCTAATGTCGATAATGATAACGTGAGCGATTCCGCAAACCTGGTTGCTGCTTAGAAGACCACCCGGTATTAAAGGAGGCAGTTGCCTCAGCTGATCAACCATCAAAGCTATCAGGGGGCTCACAACTAACGCTACCCCAGGTAAGACCAGCGCAGGTAACTGAAAGAAAAAATATAGAAAAAATTCAAACGATCATTTGGCTGATACATGAATTAAGTTAACACACTTGCAACCACTTTTGAGGGCATCAAGAAAATTCAACACCCACAACTCAAAATCATCTTCTAGGATTCAATAAAACAGCTCGTATCAAGAATCGAAAAAAAGTAAGAATTAAAAGCATTCGTTTTTACCTGATAGCAAAGAGACTTCCCCGCACCGGTTGGAAGCACTAACATTGCAGACTCCCCGGAAATCACATACTTAATCGCCTCCAGCTGCCCTTCACGGAAGCAATCATATCCATGCGTAAGCATAAGAAGCTTCTTCAGATTTTCATCAGAAGGCTCAACTCGAGCGTCCTTCACAGCGGCCATTGCCAGTTCCACGTCAACTTCTGAGACTGTAGATTGTTTCCTTGAGGCGTCCAAAGTGAAATTCTCTTCTTCGGAAGAACCCCGACAAAACCTCCAAGACCTTGAACACGGGAATGCCTTCTTCTTTCCGTAGCAGTATGAAATCTTCCTTTTTCTCCCATAACCATTGATGTTAAGCCGAACAAAGTTGCCCTCGCTGCCGCTCTTGGGCGGTTTCAGCGGCACAGTAGCCGCCGTTACCGATCGAATTTGAGTGCCTAACCTATTAGGGCGAAGCTTTGCCATATTGATCCTATTCCCAGCGCGATCGGACGTAGTAGCATGCTGAGCAGCATTTGCAACTTCTTTGGAGACATCAAATAAGGGGTCAAAAGAGGGGCGACGGGATCGGACAAGAGAAGAGAAGGAAGTCGAGCGCCGAGAATCAAGGGGTCGCTGGATCTTCTTGACAGAGATGCCGTTAACATTGGAAAGATCTGCAACAGGAAAATGCAGGAGATCGGATTCGGGATGCTTTATTGGTCTGGATTGGGACATTCTGCGCTTAGGGTTGGGTAGGGACGAATCCCTAGCCCTACATTTTGGAGATGGAGAAGCAAAGGAGGACCTGGGTGGGGTGGCGGAGACATGAGAGCCATCAGACTCGGAATCGGAGTTGGTGATGGCGTCCATCACACGTAGCACGCTAGCGCCCTTCAAGAGAGGCGGAAGGAGTTCAGGAAGTGCTGCGAGGCGGGAAAAAGAAGGAGCCCTTCCGTTTGCGTGGGAGGCCGTATTTAAACGGGTCGGGTCGGGTCGGATAATGTCCTCCCACAAAATTTAATATTCTTCTTTAATTTAAAATCTTGAAATGAAGGGGTCAACAATATTTATTGATTAGATTAGAAATTTTTAACTTTAGTCGCCTAATAATCAAAAAAGAAAAAATAAATAAATAAAATTATTAGATCTAATATAATATTTGTTGAATCTAAAATGTCTTGTAAATCAAACCCATGAAATAAAATATTGGGCAGACTAGAGAAACTAGAAAGTAGAGAGAGAAGTATAATGCATAATAACATGAGTTCTTTGTGAGTAAATTCAGTAATTATTTTTTAAAAAAATAACCCCCTCTTTATACATCATACGGGTATCTAGTAAAGTAACGTGTTTATTCATATTTTAATAGAAACATTATAAGTAATTATTATACATTTTCATATTTACAACTGACTCCGGGATCCTTTAATATTTGTAACAGACGTTGAACCCTTTTTGTATTCATAAATACTTGAGGAGAGGCATTTAATGTTTTGTTGGTATTGTTAATTGGTTTTCTTATAACCGTTCGGTAGGTTGCAAGACATTTAGTCAATTAAAAGTTCTTAGGTCGACTGAAAGGTCTTCAGTCGGCCCCTTCTCGAGAGAATTATCAATATAGGCCCTCTTGTAGTCAGAGTGAGCTTAGACCATCAGGCAAATGATGTAACACCGTAATCTGAAAAGCAGCTCTCGATTGATAACAAAGAATTGGATTGGACGGATATCCAATAGGGTTTCATTTGGTCATCTTTGTGAAGACGCCCATAATTGATTGAGGTAGCTAACTATAAATGGTTGTCCATTAGATCAGTGTCTCTTGTTCTTACGTTCGGTTGTGCTTCCATTCGATCTACTCAGAGTTCCAACAGAATGAAGTGATGGTTGGCACCTCCATCTTTTGACTATCTCGATGCAATTTTTTTATGTCTATTAAGCAAGACCCATCTAACTCCCTTGAGATTCGTGCAATCTTATTTTTATATACATATGTAGTTATCTGATTCTCATACATCTTGAAAGAAACAACTGCAATAAGAGTAATAGAATTAAATGTAAGAAGTGGTTTTTAATTGCATAATAAATACTTCTAATAAATGAACTCACCTGGATTTTCGTGCACGTAATTCCTATAAAAAGGGCATGTGTAGCACTTTTTCATCACCATTTTGAATTTTTACTCTGGTTAGTTTTTAGCAGAAAAAAAGTGATGGCGAGTGACAAAAACCCCATGAAGAGGCTATATTGAAGGCCTTCGGGCTTTTAAACTAGAAAATTTGTCATCCTACAAGAGAGAAGATGAAGAAATCCGAGAATATTCGACTGATAACAAAGAAAAAACTTATGGATGATGGCCAACCGACAAGAAAGAAGATGGAGGGAGAGGGATGACTAGTCATAACTCGGTGACAAGAGCCGACTAGAGGGAACGAAGCTAGTTAAGAAAATATAAGATAAAGTATGGAGGAGGTGATTGAGTCATCTGGCTCGTTGCCTCTCTGTGAGTTGAGGGGTCGGACTAACGTGCACTCTAGTGGTGTGTTGGTCCTCAGTTGGATAAAGAACAAGTTTAGGCATTCATTGTGACTCAAGTCCAACTGTGAGAAGCAATGGCTTCCCACCTCTGTCACTAATGTATATCTGGTAGTTGTCTAACCGCTTGGTGAGAGCCTTGACCCGACTCGCAACTACACAGATTTTTTAACTCCAAACGATTGCTAAAAACTTGGCCCAAATTATATTCAGCGGTTAGTGTGAATAAATAAAAATAAATAATAAAACTTCACACTAGGGGGCGCTACGCAAATATACATATCGTTTCAAGTAATATAAGATATTCCTTAAAAACCCCAATATTGATCCCACGAGGAATGTTGAAATTCTTATAATACTGACTTAGAAAACTTCTATCTAAATTGCAAATATTATAATAGGAAAATAGTTTTGATATGTTGGTATCAGTTTAACACAAGTTTATGCAAAAAATAAATATAGAGATTAAAAGACTCATAAAGTTTTAAAATTAACAAAGTTAAAAAAACTTTAAAAGAGAGTTTGAAATATTATAAAAAGATTTTCCCCTTGCAAAGAGATGTTAATCAATTTAGGAATTTAATAATAAAAAAGATAATTTGTTATATTATACCAAATAAGAGCATTCATATTCTTCACCCCTCTCGGTTTTTGTAAAAAATATTGGCTAATCTAGAGTCTCTCACCAACTTGTGTAGTAATACTGAGCAGTATCTGATTTTTCACTTATAGATTACTGATCCCAAGAAAATAAAGTTGTGTAAAATTTATATTAGTATAGGCAATTAATAATGGGATTCTATGCAAGTATGTGTATCATTATCAAGTAATAATGGACTTTCTATTTAAGCCCCAAATATCGATCCCACGGGGAAGGTTTAAATTTGAGATGATAAATTAACTTGGAAATTCACATAAAATAAAACGAAATCACTGTCACTAATTTCAAATTTTAAGATATTATCAAAACTAAATTACTTAACTATTAGCAAAACAGAAATGCAAAGTTTAAACGGTAACGGTAACTACTAATATTAAATACTTTCTACTAAATTATATTTATGTAATGAAGATTGCTTATGTGAAAAAGCATCTTTTCCACTACAATGAAGTTTTGATGAAATGAGATAAGATAAATGTTTATAATATGTATTGTGTCAAACAGAGTAGTTTTAATTCTCTACCTTGATACATTATTATTGAAAATCATTGGTTAATCCTAGGTTTAGTCCCTAAATTCATCGCTAAACTAGGAGAATACTGGCTCCCACTCCAAAGCTCACACTTCCCTTCACCTGAAGGCTAACTCTCGCTTTAGTTTTTAAACACTAAGACCGAATTGGGGATTTTAGTCTATCACCCTAAAGATTCTACAATTCTTCTACACCCAACATTCTACACCCAACAAAATATATTTTCATATTTATCTGCACTTAATTCTATGAACAAATTTCTCATTCTTGGAATCAAATGTGATCCTCACTCTGTTGTAGAACTCATTCTCCATTTCCCGGATCATATGTTTTACAACACATTTTAACAATTCAATTGACCAGATCGAAAAGTAAATTAAGTTCCGAGTTGAAAAATCATCACAATTTATTTTATATTTTAATATTAGCATGTTCATGTTATATCTTCATTTCACCATATCTCAGAGTTGAGAGAAAGATAAAGGAAACTACTCAGAGTTCATGAGAAAGATACAATAAAACACAAATTCCATATATAAAAGAATATAAAAGAAAGTTCAAAAGAAAGTTCATACAACACTATTAAACAAACAACACTTATCTGAAACTCTTTCTCAAAACAAATCTCTTGTAGCATTTTCTTGGAAATGAAGGAAGAAGAAATCGCTCACTTTTCCCTTTCTCCAATACTCTTAGAGAAAGATTCACACTTAATATCACTACAAAAACTCTAAATTATATGAACAATGAACTCTTAATGGTTTGTGCAATGAAGATGGTATGTAGGAGAATGAATTGTGGCAATGAGAAGTCAAGAATTTGATTAGAGTCCAAAAGTCCTCTTTTTCTAATCAATTTCGGCCCATATAGAGCCTCAAGCTGATTCTCCAATATGTGCCTCCAAAATCTCTTCAAAAAGTGTCCAAATATGTCAAATCTTCTAGAATCGATGGCTGAACCGACATTGGTGTCGTCAGCGCTGTCCTGGCGCCGTCGGCGTTGTCCTGGCACCGTCGGCGCTGAGTAAAATTTACAGTCTGTACTGTTGGTCTGCGTCGTCGGCGCTGCCCTGGCGCTGTTGGCGTTGAGTATTTCTTCAAAAACACCATTTTGACTCTAAATTCCATCCCTTTTTGCTTCCTTTTAACTTCAAGTCCTAAAAATCAACAACCTGCAAGAAAACATCAAAATTTCTTCTATTAAAGTGCAATATCACCAAAAATAAGTATAAAATATGGGTTTGAAAATGCATATATTTTTGGTGTATCAAAATCCCCCAAACTTACATGTTACTTGTCCTCAAGTGCTACTCTATTACATAAAACTATGACTGATGGTAAAAAATTTAACTTTTAGATTTCCATACTTTAGTCCACTAAACATAATAGCATATTTTAAGAAAAATTCAAAACAACTCGAGTTAATACTAAATATATAAGAATATTCAATAATCAAGTCAAAGATTTCTGATTCTCTATTCTTTTCAAGAAAAATTGCAAATTATCATATTAAAGTTACTTTGAATATCCATATGAAAAGAACTCCATAAAACTTTACTTGTAAATAAGCTAACATTCAAATAAAAGTTTAGAAAATGTGGCCAAGTCTTCTTCTTTAAGTTCATTCATGTGAAGCTAATTTTTAATTAGGCATCTCCTCAAGCTTCTCCCCACATCTTTTTCTTTTTCTTTTCTTTTTAGGATCATTTTCAAATCTTTTTTTTTATGTGAGAATTATTATATCTGGATAGCTTTTTAATGATTTTGAACTTCACTATCTTCTTCTTAAAGTTACTTCACTATCTTCTTCTTCTATCTTCTTCTTAAAGTTAAAAACTCTTTACATTTCTTTGCTTAACAAACTTATATTAGCTTAAAGATTTCATAAAGTTTAATTCATTTCTTTTTACATGAATCTTTTAAGATTTTTAATACTACAAAAATACAAATTTCTTTACTTAAAATAGAAAAACATAATCTTATTCTCTTTTATCAAATATCTTAGTCTATAGAATTAACCTTTATTATTAAAAATTTTTACTTAAGTTTACTATATATTTAGAAACATAAATATAGTTATCTAAATTTAACCCCTAATACCAAAGCAAACTTAAATTTTTAAAAGATTTAGCATGAAGAACTGAAAAATAAAGGGTGAAAGAAAACATTAAGTACATAAAGAAAAGACATACCTGTTGAAGGTT